TAGTCTACTTATGACATCTCAACCTCCCAACTAACTATTAAATACACCAACTACATTAATTGAGGAGAGGTACAATGCAAACAGCACTTCTAACACTCCTCCTTGGTGTTTGTCTTTGTAACTCCGAGCTTTTCTCTCAGCTTCTCAAATCTTGGCTTAGGAAGGGATTTGGTCAGGATATCAGCATTCTGCTCTTCTGAATCACGATGCTGCAAACTGATTTCTTTTTCCTTGATGAAATTTCTGATGACATGATATTTCACCTTGATGTGCTTTGTTCTTCCATGTTGAATTGGATTTTGAGCTATTGAAATTGCTGACATATTATCAATCTTCAAAACACATGCTTTGTCTTGATTAAAACCCAAATCAACAGCATTTTCCTCAACCATACAGCTTGATTTGCAGCTGCAGATGTTGCAACATATTCTGCTTCAGCGGTGGATTGTGCTACCACATCTTGCTTCTTTGAAATCCAAGTAAATGCTCCAGAACCAAAAGAAAAGACATAACCAATTGTGCTCTTCATATCATCTTCACAACCAGCCCAATCACTATCAACATAACCTTCAAGTTTTCCTTTGCAACCCATTTCATACCAGATACCATAATCAAAAGTTCCTTTTAGGTACCTGAGAACTCGTTTAGCTGCTGAAAAATGAGTATGACTGGGTGAGGACATGAATCTAGAAAGAAGACTCACTGAATACATTAAATCTGGCCTTGAAGCTGTTAAATATAGTAGACTGCCAATTAAACTCCTGTACTGAGAAGAATTTGCCTTCTCTTTTCCATCATCAATCACATATTTTTCATTGAGAACCAAGGGAGTTGCCACTGGCTTGCAGTCTTCCATTCCAAATTTCTTCAATACGTCAAGTGCATACTTTCTTTGTGACAAAAAGATGCCATTTTTGCACTGCTGAATTTCCATTCCAAGGAAGTATTTCATCTCACCCAAGTCTGACATTTCAAACTCCTTCATCATTTCAGCCATAAAATTGTTCAAGAGGTGCTCATTACCACCTGTTAATAGCAAATCATCAACATATAAAGACACTATTAGTTGAGAATCAGAATTTGTGCCCTTGACATATAAAGTAGCCTCATTTTCGCTCCTCCTGAAATCCTGTTGTAGAAGATAATCATCAATTCTGCTATACCAGGCCCTTGGTGCCTGTTTCAGACCGTACAAGGCTTTGTTAAGCCTGTACACATAGTCCTCTTTTCCAGCAACTTCAAAACCTTGAGGTTGTTCAACATAAATTGCTTCCTCTAGGATTCCATTCAAGAAGGCTGATTTAACATCCATATGATAGAGTTTCCAGCCCAAATTTGTAGCTAAAGCAACAAGGAGTTTAATTGTATCATGCCTAGCTACGGGTGCAAAAGTCTCACCATAATCAACTCCGGGCTCTTGAGCATAACCTTTGACCACCAACCTGGCCTTGTATTTATGAACTGACCCATTGGGATTCAATTTTGTTCTATAAACCCATTTTACCCCAATAACATTTTTGTCTTGAGGTTTTTTTGTGAGATACCAGGTTTTGTTCTTCTCTATCATAGCTATCTCCTCTTGCATAGCTTGCAACCAAACATCTTGTTTTGTAGCAGCTTCATAACTTGATGGTTCTGAAATAGCCAAATTACAACTCTCATACACTTCAGACAAGGACTTTGTCTTCAAAATTGGAGAGTCATCATCAACTT